CTAAAGAAACTTTACATGCATAATGCACATACATTTAGCACCCCCAATGATTATTATGTCATTTGATGTAAAAAAAAGGGACTATTTTCTTCAATGGGAAAATGATGAAAATCTTCTTGATCCAAAAGTAACATAATTAAGTGTCATCGGCTCACTATACTAGTCATGCACGACTTGATATATCATTTGTTGTCGATTTATTAGTTAGATTAAGCCTTTATCCAACCAGAAGACATTGCAATGGGATCAAGTATATATTTTGTTACCTTCAAGGTAATAAAGACATGAATATTTTTAAAATTTATTCAAAACATAAATTATTGGTTACGCTTATACATGATACTTATCTGATCTTTATAATGATCGATCACAAACTAGTTATATTTTTATATATGATGGTATTACAATTTATTGACAATCAATGAAACAAGCTACTTCCTCTAACAATCCTGAGATTTGACTAATTCTGAAGTTAGTTATAAATGTGTGTGACTAAAGAATGTAATTCATCAAGTTCAAAAAGATAATGGTTTATACTTAAAAAAAGATGACATAAAAAATAACACAATTTACATCGTCTAACTTAAAGCGGCATTATAGCACCCTAGACTGGTACGACACAATTGCCCGATCCGGATGCCAACGGAACCACCGGAGTGGCTGGCCAACTTTTTTTCTTCTACTTCTCTAACTTTAAGGCAACCATTTTAATAAAACCAACCATAAAACTTGTTACATCGGAGTGCTCTCAAAACAAATAAATAAATACTTTTCAAAAATATAAATATTCACTCATAACTGACTTTACAACTTAATACATTACAACTGGGTTTATGAATATACATGCACTTTAAGAAACTGGATAACGTACTCTGCTCTGCACTGGATCTGGACCTCAGACACTCTAAATCTTCTCAAATTGGTTGATCTACTAACCTACCAATAGAAACATCCGAAGGTTGAACTAACTAGCTCAATGCCACACTAACAGCTAAATCATAGAAACTGTACATTACTGAAAGGCTCAAGCTATCAAGTCTACTACTTTACTATTTAGTCTACTGATATGTTCTTCTCCGCTTTAGTGAGTATATTATATTCACTCTCTACTCTATGGTAGACATCATGGTGCAACTGAGGGGCTGCATCTCAGAGCTCACATACCCCTCTAGTCTACCAAGAATGTGGCCCTGGAATCACTGCATCGGACACCACACTCTCGACTAGCCCACTCCTTGAGTGTTGGACCTTGCGCCCAAACTAGTCAGCTTAAAGTGCCTTGCGCACTCCCTAAGGATATACCCGGACTAAAACTATAAATTTGACTATGCTAGCTTTCCTAAAGAAACTCGGGTGTCTAAATCATTTCCCGAGCATCAAACAAGGCTAATCTTATTTGATCCTACTTTATTTTGTTTCCACGTTTAAAATTAACTTTATTATTGTTCTCACTTGTAGTATTATTTAGGAGTAATTATAGAATTCTTGGGAAAACCTCACCTATCTCTAAACATCTCTTCTTTACTGCTCAACAAAAAGCATTGATATCGATACTGACCTTACAGTATCGATACTATCATTATAATTCTTCTTGCTTTAAAACTCAAACCATACCCTTGGTATCGAAAATGGCCTTACAATATCAACACCCTTTCTACAATATCGATACCCCTATAGTTATTTCATCCATTTCAACCCAACTTTAAACACCTTCTTGAGCACTTATTCTAGTGTTTTACACCTATTTTATCCCATTTATGGTCATACTATGGGCCTAGAGCCTCTCGTGGTAACATTTTTGTCTAATTTTGACATTTTGGGTAGGGGTTTTAAGACCTTTTTGGTAGAATGTCACTCTAGACAAGAGGTTTCAAAACCAGGCCAAGGGTTTTGAAACCTATACTACATAATTCACTTTTTAACTCGAGAAAACTCTCCAAAATAATCTAAAAACCTTTCCAAACTCCTACCTTGAGGTTTCCCATTTATTATCAAGTCTTATGTGATATTAAGGGGAATAAATAAGACTCTTAAACATGTTATAACACCATTACAAAGAATTTACCATTAAACTATACTCAACAAGCTTCAACCATAATTCTCAAGCTAAAATCTTAACTTTCTAGCTAAAGCTCATCTCTAATGATCTACAACTGATATGAGGAAGTTGTAAGTGTGTTACCTGGCCTTATTGGTTGATAAACTCCTCTTGAATCAACTAGAAATCACATTTCCTTTAACTTTGGAACTCTCTTTCACCGCTTTAACTAATCAAAGGTAATTGAAGGGATTACTAGCTTATCTAAGGCTTGAACTAAGTTTAAAACACTCTATACTACTTAATATTACTCAAACAAGCTTAAATCTCATGGTTTCTTTCAAACTCCCAAAAACCCATTTTTGAAAACCAACACCAAAACTAAAGATTAAGGTCTTGAAATGAAGTTTAAGGCATGAGGAATATGATTCTTACCTTGGTTTCTTCTAATTTGGCTTGGGATTTGAAAAAACTTCTAACTTTTCTTTGTTATTGGAAAGGAAGAAGAAGATAGAAAAGAAGAGGAAAAAGGGAATATACTTTTAGGCTTAGTTTTTCACGTGAAAAACACCTAAATAAGGGGGTTTTATCTCTTTGAACCAACTACGGGTAAACTACTATGTTGGTCTCTCTCCTTCTAACTCACTTTTAAAACCATCACTTCTCCTATACTCTTGGGCCTTACTTAAGCCCATTACCTATATAGCTTGTTCCAACTATCTTGGGAGGTCCAATTGGCTTGACTTAAAGGTCTCGGGTTGACCCAAACTACTAACCCAAATTTTGGGGTATTAAAGATACATAAAAGATGACATAACAAAACACATCTTATCCAAATTTTTCTTCACTCATAATCTATAAAAGAGTAAAAACATTGATGTTCAATAAAATTCGATCAAATGAAAATTTGGCATACTTACTTACAAAAGCACTGTCTACTACTGCATTTGAGAGGTTAAGTTTCAACATTGAATAATGTCGTTTCAAATATCTTTATTGATACATATATTAAAGGGAGTAAATATGTGTTTTACTTTTTTTTTTCTTAATCAAGGTTTTGTCCTACTGTGTTTTTCTAATAAGATTTGTAACGAGGCAACTTGTTATGCGTATTAAATATATGTGTACCCTTTCTTTCTTTAAGATTTTTAACGAATTTTTAATTTAGTAAAATTTTAACGAGACACGTTATCTTCATATGCGTCCAAAGCAAGTATTATGAATATTTATTTATGTCAATGTCTATCCTGAATGAAACTTCACGTAAAAGATAAAATATCAAAGTTTTATATTATTATATCTACTTAAAGTTTTATATTATTATATCTACTACTTATAGTTATATAAAGATGGAAGAAGTCTCTTAACACACTTCATGTTAAGAAAGCAATATAAAATTCTCTCTTTTCTCAAAAATTGCAGCTATATGAATGCATATTTTATAACTGGAATTTTTTCAAAAATAATAAATATATAAGTTGTTCACCACTTCCTTAAATTTACAAGGCTTGCACGGAGTATTTCAATTTAAAGAAACAATTATACTACTAAATATTTTTTTACAATTAATTAAACTTTTAAGTCAAAAATTATATCATTGATCAACTTGGTATTAATTTTAAAAAGTATTGTAAAAATTACTTTTAAAGTGTTTTTGAAAAGTTCAATTTAAAATTTTATTGTTTAAAGAGTAATTTTGAAAATATAAAATGTTCATTTTAAACATTATATTGTAAATTGAAAATATAGTATTTAAATTATTTTTACACTTATTAAAACTATGATACTTCAAATATATTATAAATAAATTTAAAAAAGGAATTATTATTATTATTATATAAAATAAATCAACTTAAATTCTTATAAAAATATATACATAATCATTACATGTTTATAACAAATTTGAAATAAATTTAAAATAAAATAATAGTATACATGACATAAATTTTGTAGAAAAAATATATTATTTTATATTCAATGAAAATATTTAAAATCAAAAAATTAAACATTAATAAATAACTAATAAATAATTATACATGTATGTATATTAATAAAAAAAACTAATTGAACTTAAATAATTGAGGATTAAAATATAACTTTTCTCAAAAGTGATTTTCTACAGTGAAAACTAGAAATTTTAGCTTCTGAGATTGAGTTGAAAACCAATTTTTGAGTGTTTAACATTGCTTATGAGATGAAAAATCACCCTTCTCTTATTAATTTTTTTTAGAAATTAAATTAATTAAATCTTTTGATAATTTTATTTGTTGTCTTAACAAATTTTTTATATACTATTGCCACGTGCACATTATGATTGAGTTATATAGAGTTTACATTTTTTTTAAAAGTCATTGAAATTTTAAAATATTTTTAAAGAATTATAAAAATGTGATTAAAAGAATTGATAAATATTTGGAAATGCCTCTTGGTAATACCGAGATATAGCATGACACCAACTGACTAAAAAAATTGTTAGATTTAATAGTCTAACATTAGTCAAATGAGTGAAATGGACTTTTGAAACAAAAAGACCTAATTGAGTGTACAAAATTGTAAGGACTTAATTGATTTTTCCAAAATTATAAGGACTTTTGATACCCTTGAGTCAATTTATAATGATGAAATATTAATCATTAATGTATTTTTAAAAATATGTATTTTTTCTTTCTTCCCTAATATTATTAATTGGTTTTATGATTTCTCAACATACCCGCCTAATCAATCCCATTGTATATTCCTAGTCTCCCACTGTGGTTGGCAATTCCATTAATTCCACAATTAATCCTTTTCTTGTAGTGGTTATCATTATATTAACTCTCGCTTTGCATCCCCATTCTTCAGGTTTCACAGCACTCTCTAGCTCTTTCTCTTCCAGCTCGCCTTTTGCTTTTATTTAAGCAAAACTCCTGTTAAGAGAGTTTAATTCTTACCCAGAAAACAACAAATCCCATATTCATTAACCCCCCCCCCCCCCGTAAAAAGCAAGTAATATGGATAGGGAAAGCATAGAGCTGAGTAAAGAGCGGCTGACAGCGGAAATGGCATTCAAAGACTCCTCCTCCGCCGTCATCAAAATCCGGCAAAGATTGCCCGATTTCCTGCATTCTGTGAAGCTCAAGTACGTCAAGTTAGGCTTGGGCTATGGCTATTCACGTAACCCCGCCACCATTCTTATCCTACCATTCATTATTGTCACTTTGGTTCAGCTCTACGGTCTGAAACCGGACTGGGTTTACGAGTTATGGACCAATCAAGCCTTTCGACTTGAGAGCATTTATTCTGCCATCGGGTTCGCTGCTTCACTGGCCCTTTTCTTCCTATTTGATCTCTACTTTGCGAACCGGTCCAAGTCGGTTTATCTCGTCGACTTCGCTTGCTACAAATCTGAAGATGATCATAAATTGTCAATTGACTCATTCATGAAGATTACTGAAGAAACCGGAGCTTTCACGGACGATATGCTTCAGTTTCAAACAAGGATATCGAGCCGGTCTGGTTTAGGCGATGAGACGTACTTCCCAAGAGGGATAACCTCTAGACCGCCAAACCAGTGCTTGAAAGAGGCTCGGTCTGAAACTGAAGCTGTTATGTTCGGAGCACTCAACTCCCTTTTCGCGAAAACCGGCGTTGAACCGAAGGACATCGACATCCTTATCGTGAATTGTAGCCTATTTAGTCCCACATCGTCACTCTCGGCCACGATAATCAACCATTACAAGCTACGTCCAGATACAAAGTGCTACAATCTTGGTGGGATGGGGTGCAGTGCTAGCCTTATATCCGTCGAGCTAGCTAAAAACCTCCTTCGAGCCAATCCCAACAGTTATGCAGTGGTGGTTAGCACTGAAAATATTACTGCACATTGGTATTTGGGGAATGACAAGTCCATGTTGCTATCCAATTGCATATTTCGCATGGGTGGAGCCGCCGTTCTTTTGTCGAACAAGCCACTAGACAGGATGTGTTCCAAGTACGAGCTCGTTCACTTGGTTCGAACCCATAAAGGTGACGACGATAAACATTACAACTGCGTTTATCAAAGAGAGGATGGCAAAGGAACTGTTGGTGTTTCATTGGGTCGTGAATTAATGGCTGTGGCCGGCGACGCATTGAAAAGTAATATCACCACTCTGGGTCCCCTGGTCTTACCCTTCACAGAGCAGTTAATGTTCTTTGTTACCCTTGTTCGAAAGAAGGTTTTTAAAGCGAAAGTTAAGCCTTATATACCCGATTTTAAGCTTGCTTTTGAGCATTTTTGTATCCATGCTGGTGGGAGGGCGGTATTAGATGAAGTACAGAAGAATTTGCAGCTAACGGATTGGCATATGGAGCCTTCAAGGATGACATTACATAGATTTGGTAACACTTCAAGCAGCTCACTGTGGTATGAGTTGGCTTACACGGAGGCCAAGGGTCGGATAGAGGGTGGTGACCGGGTGTGGCAGATTGCATTCGGGTCGGGATTCAAGTGTAACAGCGCTGTTTGGAGAGCTCTTAGGTCGACTCCCTTGAGTGAGACAAGGGGCAACCCGTGGAAAGATGAAATTCACAAGTATCCGGTCAAGGTTCGTCTTGCTTGATATCTCCAAGTAGTGTCAATTTATTGCTTCTTGACCTGTGCCTTGAAGCATATAATAAGTGACCCAAGCTTTAGGACGTTGTGTTGTGTTGTTTCGTTTGTTTGTTGGGTTCTTTTTCTTGTAAGAAAAAGTGATCAAAGAATATGCCACGTTCAAATTTGAATACAGAATAATTAGAATATCTAAAATTCAGTTAGAAGAATAGACCACTGGCAAGAAATGATATTGGCTTTTAGCTGCATAATTGAAGTGTTTGGCTTTCTTTAATTAATCAATTAGTTGGGGAATATCATCAAACAGGTGGTTGGTATCTATACATAAATGTGTGCAATTCATACATTGATTGAATTATTTCATGGTTAGTGGTTTGAAACAAAGTAAGCATGCCCTTTTCTTTTAACATAAAATATATATTATTATAATTCATATAGACTCCAGGATCCTCATAATATACCAAAGCAGACAAGAAGTTGATCCTAATGAAAAATTAAGACACCCACACTATTATTGTTTCTTTTTCATTGTGGCATATCATATTAGGTTAAAACAGATTTTTAAAATTTTAAAAGATTGAAAACATATTATTAATAAAAATATAAAAAAATATAACTTATATGAGAATTTAAAATTTTGAGACGCAAATCAGGTTCAACCTTCACTGCATTCAAGTTCAGGGACCTTCAACCTTTTCAAACAAATGTTGCTTAAGATGAGCCGTTTCTTGCAAAGCCTTGAACCCTTCAGGGCATGCTTCAATCAGCGTAGTTTGAATTATCCGGCAATGATAGCTTAGTTTGATTTCCAGCTGCTATCCAGGGCAGCCTCAAGTTCATTCTTCTCCATCTTTAGATGAGTGTTTTCTTCCTCCGTCTGCCTTCATTTTCTCACAAGGTAATTTACTTGCTAAGAATTTCAGGAAGAGCTGATGGGATGTCTGCAATGTCTCACCTGAAAATGATCGTTTCAAGTCCTCATATTCAATAAATCCTTTACCGATATGCAGGTATGCCACTTTTGTAGCCAATTCTTCCATGCTCAACTCAGGTAGGTAGGCGTTGTCGATATTGGTCAATTTCAGGACCAGCTGTTTGAAGAACTTTAATCAAGTGTAACATAGAATTTATTTTTTCCAACTTATTCCTCAGCTCATCAATATAGTAGAATCTAGTTTTATTTATTTATTTATTTATTCATTCATTTTGGTCGTACTTCTGATTCCAGGGTTTAGCCTTGATTATTCCGGATCGACCTACTTAAACGATATTAAACTTCTTACCACTTGAACCATCTCTGTTAATAGAATCTAGCTTTATTTGCGATGCTTTTAGTGATTTTATCTCTAGCAAAACCAATTGATGAAGGGACATGCTCCCACTCGAAGTAAAATCTTTGGGGAAAAAATGGCTCGTGATGTAATTTTTTTTCTCGAGCTATCATCAACAAGGCAGTTGGTCTCAACAAGTTTCCCGCCCTTCACGTTATGATATACTTATTTCTCAACCACTTTTGTATTCTAAAAAAAGCAACCTAAGAGACTCCAATAATTCCAAATTGAAGCACAAAAAGTTAGACCATACATATAGATTGTTTTGAAGACCAATCAACATTTTTGTGTCCCTCTGTTATGCTATCAAGGACATTGTTTAAAGGTAACACCCCCTCACGTCTGATGTCTGTTCTGTTGAAAGTCAAATAAAAAAAAGAGATTTGCAAGTGGGGCGGCTGAACTAAAATCAACATGGACGGCTAGATAATTCAACAAAAATTAGGTTGCCTAATTTTGTTGAATTTTGTAATAGGGTTAATTATTTTTAGTCATTAGACTTTAGGGTATTTTCAAAGATTAGTCCCTAAGCTTCAACTATAAATACACTAGCTCATTTAGCTTCAAAATTATCCCAAAATTCTTTTCTTCCTCCCAATACTAGAGAGTTTTCTTATGAGTAGTGAGTGTTTTGTAAACACCTGTAAATTTTCTCTCTTAGTAAAAGATCTGTAGCCGTCCGGAGACGTAGGCACAATTTGCTGAACTCCGTTATCAATTTTGGGTATTATTTTTCCGCTTTTATTTCACATTCTCACTAATCTGGTTATAGGGAAATTACTCGTACTGAGTTTATTTCTCAGCAACTGGTATCAGAGCTTTTGGTTGTGAATTTTATCAATTTTTTGCGAGGTTACTATTCATTACTTGAATATTGAATAGTGAATTTTGGGTATCAATTTTTTCTCAACAATAGTGAATTTCTTGAATATTGAAATTTTTTCGGCGATACGAATTTATCGACGGAGGTGTTCTAATACACAACGGTTGGCGAAAATTGTCAGAACGATCCAAAGAAGTCAGATTCGAGTGGGAGCGATGGCTGCAGACGAAGGGAAGGTGAAAATTGAAAAGTTCGATGGTACGGACTTTGGCTTTTGGAAGATGCAAATTGAAGATTTTCTGTACTAGAAAATCTATATCAACCTCTCTCAGGAAAGCAACCAGAGGGCATGAAGAATGAAGACTGAGCTCTTCTCGATAGACAAGCCCTCGGAGTTATCCGACTAACGTTCTCCCGCAATGTTGCTTTCAACATAGTAAAGGAAAAGACCACGGCAGGTCTTATGGCGGCACTCTCCAGTATGTACGAGAAGCCATCGGCCTCAAACAAAGTTCATTTGATGAGGCGATTGTTCAATTTGCGGATGGTGGAAGGGGCATCGGTGGCTCAACACCTAAATGAACTCAACACGGTCACAACCCAGTTGAGTTCCGTGGAAATTGAATTCGATGATGAAGTTCAAGCTTTAATTCTCTTATCATCTCTACCAGACAGTTGGAATGCTACTGTTACAGCAGTCAGCAGCTCGTCGGGAAACAACAAATTAAAATTCGACGATGTTTGGTATCTGGTATTGAATGAAGAAATTCGATAGAGAGAAACGGGTAAAGCATCAACCTCCTCAGCCTTGCACACGGAGTCCAGAGGGAGAACTTCAGAAAGAAATTCAAATCGTGGCAGATCCAAATCCAGAACGGGAAAATCAAGAATGGGAAAGAAATATTTTACCTGTTATAAATGAGGCAAGAAGGGTCACTCTAAAAGAGATTGTCGAGCACCGAAGAAAAATACATACGCATAGAAATCAACCAATGTGACAAAGGAGACCGGTGATGCCATGATTCTAAGCGTCAATAGTCCGATTGAATCATGGATCTTGGATTCAGGGGCATCTTTCCACTCCACCCCGTGTCGAGAAATCATGGAGAACTATGTCAGTGGTGATTTTGGGAAGGTTCATCTAGCTGATGATGAAACCTTAAAGATCATCGAAAAAGGAGACATCCGATTAAAATTGCCAAACTAGACCACCTGGACGCTGAAAGGTGTGAGACATATTCCTGGTCTCAAAAGAAATTTGATTTCTGTAGGACAGCTTGATGGAGAAGGATATAGTACAACCTTTTCAGGCTGTGAATGGAAGATTACCAAAGGAGCACTCATCATTGACGTGGTAAGAAGACTAGTACTCTCTATGTAACCTCAAACTTAGAGAATATCATTGCCGCAGCAGATACTGATGGAAAATCAAACCTATGGTACCAAAGGCTTGATCATATGAGCGAGAAATGGATGAAGACACTTTTGTCAATAGGGAAGATGTCGGATCTAAAGAATGTAGATGTCGGACTATGCTAGGATTGCATCTTTGGCAAATAAAAGAAAGTCAGTTTTGCAAAGATTGGTAAGACACCCAAGGCTGAAAAGTTAGAGTTAGTTCATATTGATGTATGGGGACCATCTTCAGTTTCATCTCTTGCAGGCTCATTATATATTATGTCACATTCATCGATGATTCTACAAGGAAGGTGTGAGTTTATTTTCTGAAGAAGAAATCAGAAGTCTTTGATACTTTCACAAAATGGAAGGCCATGGTGGAAAATGAGACTGGTTTGAAAGTCAAGCGGTTGAGGTCAGATAATGGAGGAGAGTAAAAAAATAGAAGATTCAGAGATTTCTGCACAAACAATGGGATCAAGATGGAGACAATTCCCATGACACCGCAGCAAAATGGTGTAGCAGAGTGCATGAACAGAACTCTGAATGAACGTGCCAAAAGTATGAGGATACATGTCGGATTGCCCAAATTTCTATGGGCTGAAGCTATCAACAGTGCAGCTTACCTGATCAACCGTGGCCCTCAGTTCCTTTGGATGACAGAATACCAGAGGAAGTTTGGAGCAAGAAAGAAATAACCCTTTCACACTTAAGAGTGTTTGGTTGTATTTCTTATGTACACATAGATTCTGCTAAAAGAAGTAAACTTGATGTCAAGTCCAACAAATGCGTCTTTGTTGGTTATGGTGGTGATGAGTTCGGTTACCGATTTTGGGACTACGAAAATTGAAAGATCATCAAAAGCAGAGATGTCATTTTCAATGAGAATGTGATGTACAAAGACAGATCAACTGTAGAATCAAATAGCTCCAATACCGAAGTTGAAACAAAGGAATTTGTTGAGTTCGAGGAGATTTCTAGAAATAATGTTCAGATCAATCCTGAAGCAGTTCAAGAAGAACCAGGCACACCATAAATGAGACACTCCTCCAGAATTCCTAAACCAACCCAACGGTATTCTCCTTCTTTGCACTACTTGTTGCTGACTGACAATGGTGAACCAGAGTGCTATGATGAAGCAATGCAATTGGAGGATTCAGTCAAGTGAGAGTCTTCCATGAAAGATGAGATGGACTCGCTTATGTCAAATCAGACGTGGGAATTAGCTAAATTACCACCAGGCAAGAAAGCGCTCCATAACAAGTGGATTTACAGGATCAAAGAAGACCACGATGGGAGCAAACGCTACAAAGCAAGATTTGTTGTCAAATGCTTTCAACAAAAAGAATGTATTGGCTATAATGAAATTTTCTCTCCAGTCGTAAAATTGTCTACAATCATACTGGTGTTGAAAATTGTAGCCGCAGAGAATTTACATCTTAAGCAGTTAGATGTAAAGACAGATTTCCTTCATGGTGATTTCGAGGAAGAAATCTATATGAGGCAGCCAGAAGGCTTCATAGAGGTAGGCAAGAAAAACCTGGTATGTAGGTTGAAGAAGAGCTTGTATGGTTTAAAATAAGCTCCTAGACAGTGGTACAAGAAGTT